ATACGTTTCATCGTATCGATGAATAGACTAGATGATTGAAAATAATGATTTATATACCAATAGAATACACTCACTTGCAACACATATCGTATGTATGGTATTACATATCTGTTTCATGTAATAATGTGTCTGTTATGTAAGTAACTTTAAGTAAACGTGAGACATGCGATTTCTCTGATGGTAAATTTACTGTCCATGCCATTACACGAATACCACGATTATACCACTCTTTTATAATGAACCTAAAATAAATAATGTAGAAAAAACATTTTGTTCTTTGTAAGATTAACCATAATGAAATATCGTAGTATTAATTAACATGTATTATAGAAATAACATAAAGACATGTGTACATACTGATTTATCGTGTCTTTATGTAACAAAACAAGTGAAACACCTGTGACATAGTACACAAAATGGTAAAATGCCCATGTATAAACATAATCAATTACACAAGCCACCAAATGTTTAATTGGATTCCTAAAACGCATTGGTCCAGGTTTCTCAAATGCAGAATATGTTAGTCTTGAAAAATAATGTGGTCTCCATGCTAAACTTGCAACAATTTTCGGTTCTTTTCTTCTAATCTATAATAACAGAATTGTTATTTAATCTACCTATCAATTATTAACCATCAATAATAATCGTTAAATCTTTTTATATTCAGTTACCATGTATACAACGATAGGGTTAAAACTGGACACAATTCCTCTCTCATATAATTTTGGATATTTTTTATATGCATCTAAAATTGTTTGTACAATTTCTGTTCTAGTTTCTTTAATATCTAGTATGATCCTTTGATCATTGTTTAAACATATCTCCAAGGCTTCATCAAGTAATGGAATATTTTCACCATTAATAAACTTGTCTCTACAAGTAACAATTGTATCTAAAATTCTGTTTTTTATTACAAACGTTTTGTAATGAAATTATTAAGTAATTACTTGAGTGGATGATTTTGGCTGATATCCAACTCTCTTAATTGATCCCATGTCATATCTTTTATACGTCCATTTTTTCCAGTAGTTCTATCAATTGTTGGATCATGAAATACTATAGGAACATTATCCTTCGTGAGGAATACATCAAGTTCAACTGCTTTGCAACCCTTCTCTTTGCTCTGTAAAGTAGATCGTAATTATTATTCTGCTTTTAATGATATTTATAAAAAATAAACAGTTAAAATAGTAATATTTCTGTTAGTAACTACTTTATTAGTATTTGTATTAACATTTGCAACAATTAGCAATTTTCATTGCTACAAATATACCTAATATTCCAAACTAAGTACAGTTAAACCTGTATACTTAAGCAACATAATTGTGCTAATTAGGTTATTTTATAATTATAATTCATAGGGTAATTCAATTGTAATTTTTTACAATTATGTCACAAAGTTGCAAAAGTTCAATTATAACAAAAAATAAATGTGAAAAGAAAAACGTTGATTTAATGTAAGATTTTACTTTACGAAAGGCTGTTAAGCTGTTCTCAGGATAATCATATGCTCCACCACGATGAGCCACCACTCGCATGCAAAACTGCTCTCCATTACCATGATCCTTGGATATATTATTATCATTTTTTGGTAAAAGAGGATTCACTCCAAGCACCTCGTTTTTTATCTGTAAATTTGGCGGTGGAATTCTGGCTACTTTTAATCCAATCATAATGACTACAGTACCCCAAATAATCCATGGTACACAAAAATAATAAAAACCACTGATTAAAATGCTCCAGATAGCTTGTAAAACCATCCACAATAAAGCACTGCTTAAAGTTAGTTCAAGAAATCCATGCATTTTTTAAGGGAACCTTTAGGCTTGTTAACTTTTTTCTTTCAGGAAGAAGATAAGAATGTTATTAACTCTGTGCGAAGAGGGACACTGAACATAATACTATTTCGCAACACATTATATTACTTAGGTGTATGATACTGCACATTTTTGTTGATACTTTTCAAGCTTGACAATCTATATTCAACAATAGTTTTTGCACTTTTGTATCTACAGTCAACACAATGAAAACTGGACGCTTATGGGAATCTGAAACATTTAATTAACTTTCAATTGTATACAATATAAATTTCATACAACAATACTGTTGTATGCCGTTCTACATTTTTCGTTCATAAATTATTCTATTCTACTCTACAATACAAATACGAAAAACACACGGATGGCAATTTATCAATTGAACCGGCTCAAAGTTTAGTCAATATATCTTACGTCTTTATTGCTGTATATGTAGTCACAATATCCAACTAGAAACGTTAGATCACGCTGGATGCAGCATGAGACGATATTTTAAAATAAATATGTAATACAAAATACGTGGGATGATTTATATAGTTAAAACTATATACGCGATGTATGACACAACACTCTCCTATTAGTATGACAGACAACAGACTGATCTTCAATAGACTAATACATACATACACACAAGCATGACCTAACTCAGTCAGCAGAAGCAGAAGCTTAGCTCCCTCTCCCTTACTCCCTCTACCACTACAATCTTCATTTTATTGTACAATAGGGTGTGGGTGCATTTCAGAGATCCATTATAAGATGTGTGCATACAAAAAGGAGAAGAAATGTCGACGATTGAATGGATTAAAAGTAAACGATTGCTTGTAATGATTAAGGCAGTGTATCAAAGCCAACTATGAGTGTAATTTTTAGTACAGATGAGGGATGGATAATATCCCATTTGCGATATCTTAATGATATTTATAAAAATGTAAAGGACTGCAACACCCAATATAAGTTAATTTTCAATGAGACTTTGTTCGAAATTAATTCTCAATATTTACGTCAGAATCAAATAACTAAACACGATCGACACGAAGAAAATTTGTTACAAAATAAGAATAGGAAACGAAAAAGATCGAAGCTCTTGCCAGCGGAAGATCTGAAAGAGGTATGTAAATAGATCTATCGAAAATTTCATGAATTTTTAGTTCGAGAATACTATATAACTATAATTTTTATCGTTGTGTATTTTATAGATCGATTATGTTAAACAAGCATTTAACCAAATAATATTGTCCGCAAAAACAGAAGGCTTATTTGTTTCTAATGTTATTCCTAATAATAATGAGGCAGCACGCTTAGGATCACAAAAATTTTATCAGGACACATTTTCCATGGAGGAAGAATATTTTTATGGTTGCAATGATGCAGAAGTAGCTATTATATCTGGAACGAAAGAAAAGAAATATGCATTTCCAAAGAAATGTAAATTTTATTGTTATGATGTGAGAGATATTAACAAGAAATTGGAACTGAACAATCAGTATGATTTTATATTGTTGGATCCTCCTTGGTGGAACAAGTCTATAAGAAGGAAAAAAACCAAATATCTGGAAGCTAGGTGATCTTGTATGGTTCAGTATAAGCCAATAGAAAAAAAAACAAACTTTCTGAACAATTTAATGAGAATAAGGACTTTGATAATAGTATAAGTTTTCCTTGTTCTCAGTTTTTCAAACATATGGGTAAATAAGATTTTAGATGCAACTTTTCAACATAAAAGTATTGTTATACAATATTAAGACAATGTTGATGCATTTTAGTATGAAATACAAAGTATTACCAATAGCTATCTGCTACAAATATATTTTATAATTTACGCGAATTGAGTCTTATATTCTTCTGTTAACAGTTATAAAATGATGTACAACGAGGAGTTGGCCAAGATACCAATTGGGAAGTTATTGTGTGCAAATGGACTTGTAGCAATATGGTGTACCAATGCACCCACTCATTTGAACAGTATTTTTAATGATATATTTCCATCATGGGGTATAACTTTTAAAGCAAAGTGGTACTGGATAAAAGTAAGTGTAGTTATTAAAAAATAAGATCCTTAAAAACAATGGTTTACCAATATCTATTATTTTACTCAAATTATATCTCAGGTCACCCAAGCAGGAAATACAATATGCAACTTTAACTCAGCACTTGGAAAGCAACCTTACGAATTGCTATTGCTGGGATCTGTATTAAATAACAATGAAATAAACATTCCTGATGGAAAATTAATAATGAGTGTTCCAAGCGCAGTACATTCTCACAAACCACCTCTTACTGGTAAGTATATGATACTAATTTTTATAAAATAATTAGAAATTGATCATACATAAATATACAACTCAAAATTATAGAAGTCATGAAAGAATATCTTCCACATGAGCCAAAGTGTTTAGAAATATTTGCAAGGTATTTACTTCCCAACTGGACAAGTTGGGGACTTGAAGTTTTAAAATTTCAGCACTTGTCACTCTATACAGTTATAGAGGACTCACAAGAAGCTCAAAATAATAGTAAAACGGATGTAAATAAATTAATTAAGTAAAATTATATATAGTGAAACAATAAATATTTCGATGTTACTGTTCTTTTTTATTATTATCATAAATTAATCATTATACAACATTTCAATTATATCATTATGATGTGCCATTTACATGCTCACTAATACCATTTTTAACTGTTGTACGATAGCCATGTGGATTCTTTGTTTGCCACCTCCAAAAGTCTTCACCTGTTCATTAGAAATATTCTTAGAAAATTGTTGATACACATAGTAAATAAATTAGTTAACTTACACATCTGTTCAACATTATACTTGGTCCTCCATTCTAATTCTTTCTCTGCCAAATCTGTGTTGGCATACGTTGACACTATATCACCATCTCTCCTATCCTTTAAAACATATGGCACCGTCGTCCCTGTGACATTCTCGAAAGTTTTAATTAATTCGAGTACAGACACACCATTGCCGGTACCTAAATTGTAGATTTTTAACCTTAGGTGTCGTTTGTGTAATGCGTTTAGCGCTGCAACATGACCAGCCGCCAAGTCCATTACGTGAATATAATCACGTATACCTGTGAACAAATGCGAAGACCGAAGATGTATTACACACAATTGGAGTAAGAATTTTTAAGAGTCCATACTTTACTTACCTGTACCATCTTTAGTAGGATAATCGCCGCCAAATATAACAAGTTCAGGCTTATGCCTTAAGGCTACCTGAGCAATGTAAGGCATTAAATTCGTAAACGGTTTCGTAGGATCCTCTCCAATCAAGCCACTGGGATGAGCACCTACTGGATTGAAGTACCTTAGAGATATGATATTCCAATTCTGTTGAATAAAAGCAAATCAAACATCTTGTTTAAAGAGATATTTTTTTATTAATCTTCGTTTCTTCTTTATGAGTTAAATTTAATGGGTTTAAACGCACCTTCTCGGCTCTAGATATATCTTTAAGCATCTCTTCAATGAAATACTTTGTTCTGCCATATACGTTCGTAATATTACCAGTAGGATGATCCTCTGTAATTGGAAGTTCATTCGGCTCTCCGTACACGGTACAAGAACTGCTGAAAACTAATTGAAAGCATCCAGCAACTTTCATTACCTGAATAGAATGATCGTTCAATTACTTAACAGTCATCTATCATTACTTAACAGTTTGTTGATTTAAATTTTACCTCTAACAAATTGATAGCACCAATAATATTATTCCGATAGTAGTGGAGAGGAACTTGCATCGATTCACCGACCGCCTTTATTGCCGCAAAATGGATCACGCAATCAATTTTGTGCTGGCATGTAAAAAATATTTATTAATATTATTAATCAAAATAATTTAAAGAATTTTTAGTTATTCCCACTGTTGTTTAGTACCTTATTGAAAACTGCTTCCAGTTTATCTCGGTCAATAAGATCGCAATTGTAGAAAGTAACTTTCTTCCCCGTTATTTGCTCAACTCTTTTAAGAGCCGCAGAGTCACCACAACCCTCGGTAACGCTATTAGCAAAATTATCTATCGCTACAACATCATATCCACTTTCCAAAAGTTCAACGATGCAATGGCTACCGATGTAACCGGCACCGCCGGTCACGAAAATGGTTCTCCAATTTATGCTCATCCTAGAATTCAAGCACGATTATTAAAATACTATTTCAAAATTCGTATCCTTTTTACATATAAAATATTACAGTATAACTTTTTAAAAAAGAAAAAATCCTTTAAAATCTTTTTAAAAGAAAAAAATTAGTGAAAGTAGTTTGTAAATACGATCTTACGTGCGAGACGAAAAGTACAGGTGCTTCGGACGTTCACCTGTACTGAACTATCTGGAGTTCAAGGTCGTTAACACACGTGGTACGTTAGTATAATTATGACGCGTATGGTTAATTTTGCTTTTTTCAATACACGCTTCTACAATTAATATAAAATTACATTCAATCAGACTACTATTTTAAAGTTGTTTTAATTTAATAACATTTTCATCTCGCAATAATTAAAAAAATTTCGTACTTCGAGAAGTGAAACAATGATATTTTTGAAAACAAAATTCAGTAAAAATAGTTGTAACAATAGTACTAGTACACGATTATTTATAATTAGAAAAAAATTATTCGATATTAATGGTATGCTCAAACGCATGTGGTGCATTTAAAATATTTTTGCAGTACTAACTAATACAGGATGTATTACTTAATCCGCTTTAATAAAAAATAAATCTTTTATATTTTTTCGAAATATATAAATATAGCGACAAGATATATTTATTTTGTACAAAATGTACAAATGTTGTTGTTTGTACAAATGTTCTTTTCATAAAATTTGTACATAATGGTTGTTTACCTCGATAAAAAGATTAAAAGCAACGAATACGTCAAGTTGGTACAGAAGGATTCGAGCACGCGACCGCGTAATCACTGACTGCGTCCCAACCACTTGCTTCGTCTTCTGGTATAAGAGAGCAGAGTTTAGTATTCGTGGAACGCAAGGTATCCCCTCTTCCACAATACCATCATACGAATCATTGTAGAGGCACGCACACTTTAAACCTCGACCCTCCCGAGTCCTTGCTTTCTGTTGCAACAAGTTCTTCCTTTCACACCGATACCGCCACACCGTTTGCCTGATTTCTTCGTGGCGGTAATAGAAACGACGATGGCACACGTACGGATCCCATAACCGTTACCGGTTGCATCATTTTGACGATTTGTACAGGACTGACTCATTAAAATCTACTAAACTTAGGCAATAATTTGTTTAATCAAAGCAATCTATTCTTGGACCATTATAAAACAGACAAAGATAAAACGCTGGGTGCGTTTATAAAAGTATTTACAAAGCTTTTTTTCCCTTTTTTTATTGTCTTTACAATGTTTATTCATTGTGTCGTTAATACTTGAATTAACTTATGCAATAACTCTCTTTGTTCTGCATCCAAGTAGGGCCACAATTCACCCTCCAGTTCCAGTAGTGCTTGGTAATCATGCGATTGAGATGCCAATACTAAAGATTGTAATAGTAGCAATTCGTCTTCACTCATATTGAAGTCTGTAAAACAGTTTTGTTGTATAATTAGAATGTATATAATGAACATTTTGAAAAACAGTGTAAAGTAACTCACCGACGTTTGAAGATTCTTCTATCCATGCATACTTCTCCAGAACTTGAGCCAAAGAAGGTGCTAGCCTTTGTGGTGATGGTTGAAGTATAAGTAGCAGTAATACTCTAGTTACTTCACACCTACAAATGAGTGTAATTACTATATTTCTTACTACAATGAAACATAATTGTACGATCTTGTTGTTTTCTATACCTATGTAGTATAACACTGTAGTTCCCTTTTGCTCCCGTATTGATATAAATTTCAATAAATTCAACAAGCTCATTAATAATTTGTAGAGCAGATACATAATCTCCTAAATAAATAGTATTTTCATTCAGTTGTCACAAGTAATCATAATAATAATAAAAAATAATTACCTTGCTTAATATGATAAGATACCAATGTACTAATAGCTTTTACAGTTGGAAAAATGCCAATAGCTTTGTATAATTGTTGTATACCTGCTGGAGTAGGGCCTAGAGCTATTGCCAATTCTAAAGCTAATCCAGCAGACATTGTACTAAATCCTGTTTGATTCTGACAACGTGCTAGAGCATGGCCAAAGCAACTTATAGCAGCCTAATAAGAATAATTAAAGATCCAATATTTTATATGCTATATGTGATTATGAGTTAAAATACAAAAGAATTATAAACCTGTGTATTCTCTTGTCCAACAGGAGGACACCCTATATCTTTTTCTTTCTTGTTCGCCACAAGAAATTCTCTACCTGCTTTGATCAAAAAATTTAATTCAAATAATATATTATCTAATGTCCCCTGACACCTAGCTGCAGCTAATAAACACAAGCCTGCATATTGCCATAATTCTTTTTGCTCACATTCTGCAGCCAGGATTCCTGAAAAGTGAATGCTATTGTACATCTTGGAATATATATTTGCAATCAATATACACTGCAAATAATGTAATTTACCAAATTGATCACTTGCTTCAGCAACATTTGGCTTCCTCAAGAATCGTCTAAAATCAAATTGCTTGTGTTAAAATCAATAAGAAGATACTTATAAAAGATATAACATGTAATGATATATTTACTTTTTTAGTTTATTGGATATATTGTGATATTTTGTAAAAAAATCCAATGCATCACCCATTGTGTCTTTAGTTCAAATATGTCACTCCAAATTTGTCTATTCTATACCTTCTGTCTGCATATTTGGTTACAAAACCAGTATGAGATAATGACCTTCTCTTATATAAATAACTTTTTAATACATAGTATTTCGATTGATTACAGAATTATATTAATTAGGAGAATTTCCTACACATAACCAAACGAATTGTTTATTAAATATGAGTCTTAGTGTTCGCATTTAACATTATTTACATATATATCATATAAGTACACATATGTACAACACTGTACACTTAATATGGTATACAGCATAATTTCACGGTGCACAATAGTGTATGTACATATGCATGTACATACATACAATGTATGTACAATCGTTGTTATAGCAACGAACGTGATGCATTTCCATTACAGTACAATATGTACAACACACATTCATAATACCTTACGTTTTGCACAATTTTTCTACCTCGCTTAGCTCTTGCAAGCATCCCCACCATTTTACTGCGCATCCATTCCACAATAAATCCTGTCTTAGCATTGAATCGTCAGCCAATTAGAACAATGAAATTTTTACTTTTTTACTAACGGAGCGCGCTGCGGCCGGATAGTCTTGCAAAACTCGAGGTATACTCAAGTACTACTTGTACATACTGTGCATACGTATCGTATATACATACACCGTGTCATTAGCTTCAAAATGGCGGCTGCATCAGAAAGTTGTTAGGTTAAGTTGTGTACATGATTATATTACATTACATGTTTTTCTTAATATTTTATTAATTAGACAAATAAGCACGAAATAGACGTTATTTGCTGTAAAAGTGGAAGACTACGTGTGGAAGCAAAGATGAGGATCGCTGTAGAGGGATGTGCTCACGGGGAATTAGACATTATTTACGATACTATTCATGAGATGGAGAAAGCTGATAGAAGAAAAATAGATTTGCTCATTTGCTGTGGAGATTTTCAGTCCACGAGAAATTTAAGCGATCTCAGTTGTATGGCTGTACCTGATAAGTATAAGAGTATGTGTACTTTTTATAAGTAAGTAATTCATTTAAACTATTTTATATCAGAGTGTCTTAACTATGTTGTTCATTGTTGAATCTTTAGTTCAGATTTAATTAAATAATGCATTGCAGATATTATTCCGGAGAAAAAGTTGCTCCTGTGCTAACAATTTTTATTGGTGGTAATCATGAAGCATCAAATTATCTCCAGGAACTACCATACGGTGGATGGGTAGCACCTAATATTTACTATTTAGGATATGCCGGTGTTGTATCAATAGGTGGTATCAGAATTGCTGGCTTATCAGGCATTTATAAAGGTCAACACTTAATGCAAGGCCACTATGAAAAACCACCATATAATGACAACACGATCAGAAGTGTGTATCACATTAGGAACTTGGAAATATATCGATTAAAACAGGTACTTCAAAGGTTGAACTTTCAATCTAAATGTTTTACATTGAATTTTATTAAAAATATTGTTCCTTTATTATGATTTCTTCCTTGTAGCTTAGTGGCAATATTGATATTTTCTTATCCCATGATTGGCCAGCAGGGATAACCAAGTATGGCGATGAGAATATTTTGTTAAAAGGAAAACCATTTTTCAGGTGAATTAATAAAAACTCTTTTAAAGTATTCACTCTTAATACATTACAGACGTATCATGAAAATTCTCTAGATCTTGTGGCCAATCATAAGAATTCTCAAATTTTCATTGTTATCATTTAAAGTGTAAAGTATAACTATAGCAATGAAACTACTGGTCTGCAATGCGTTAAGTGGATACTTGATTGGCAAATCAAAGTGAATTGTTACTTTACATATTTTTATTATAGAAATGATATCGAAAATAATTGCCTTGGTAGTCCACCAAGTATGGAACTCTTGGAATATCATTATCCAAACTATTGGTTCTCTGCACATTTACACTGTAAATTCGCCGCTCTTGTTCCCGAAAAAGATGGAGCGAAGGTGACTAAATTTTTAGCTTTAGACAAGTGTCTTCCAAAAAGAAAGTTTCTTCAAATACTCGAATTAGAACATGACCAAAGTGTACCACTAAAACTAAATTATGACTTGGAATGGTTGACGATATTATATTTAACAAATCATTTGTTAAGTGTAAAAAGTGGTACCCATTATATGCCTGGACAATATGGTAATAACAGATGGGTGTTTACGCCAACTAGAGAGGAAAAGGAAGCTATTTTGAAGAGATTTAATCATTGTTTAGAAGTTCCATTGAATTTCACACAGACTACAAAACCATATGATCCTGATGCTTCAGAGCTTCTAATGGAATCACCGAAATTATTGATAAATAATCAGACAACACGGTTCTGTAATACTTTAGGGATTGACGATCCATTCGTTTTACTGCAGTTAATGAGCAATACGAAGGAAATGAAATCAAATGGATACATTTATGATACACAGATAGATACATCTTATGATCAAGTATCAGGCTCTATTGATAATTCTATTTCATTTGAAGAGGATAATGCTTTAAATTCTACATTTGATGGTAGTTTAACCGGCGATTCTTTTAATCGGACATCACCGTTAAATTTATCTCCTAAGAGTAATAGCGAAGAGCAGGATAGACAAATAAATAATAGTAAAGAAGCTATCGAAGAAAGTTTGAACAATTTATCATCAACAGCTAATGTAGAATGTATAGATGACAGTGAGTAACAAACTACAAATTGGAATTATAAATTGGTATATGTATAGGATTTTAGCTTTACAAATATATTTTATTTATATTTCAGGTCATAAACCATTTATACCAATCGAACCAAATTGTAAAAAATTTAAGCGACGAAATTGTGCTATATATTCCAATACCCTTTAAATGCAATTTAATAAAATTGGTACGTTATTGGATACGACACAGTTGTATATAAAGGATTAATGAATTATTTGAGAAATGTACATAAAAATTAACAATTTTGTTTTTTGAAAAATGATTTCCTATGAAATTTCCATTCTATAATGGAAGATATTAAATGAAAGGAATTAAATGAAAGAAATCTATCAAATTGTTCTTTTTTTATTTCTCCTACTCTTATCAACGCTACTGATTGTGAGATTTTCCGCCATTGTTGTTGTCTATAGCGATCAAATTTTAAGTTTTGAGGTTAGGAAACTGTCTACATTGCAGAGTGACAAGTTGATCAAAAAACATACTTTCTCTTAAAAGCATGATTATTAAATAGAACACAATGCCCTTATAACAATAATATTTGTTGATCTCTGTGTGTATATAAGTACATATATATTTATTACGTCAATATAAACTGAGCATTATTATTTCAAAATGGATAAATTAACCCTTATTTCGGGAACATTATTTCTTGTCGCAGATGTATCTGCAATAATTAGTCTCGCTATGCCAGACTGGATTATTACTGATGTTGGTGGTGAGTGCTTCAAAATTATGTTCTATTTTAATAGTTTATATATTCTGGTGATTGTGTAATTACATTGTGTTACTCAGTATTAATCTTTAGGAACAATAACATGTACAAATCAACTTTTAAAGTTGTAGTGGAAGTAAAATATATATGTCTTATTCTGATGTTATTAATCTTTTTATTCTTTATAGGAGATACAAGATTAGGGTTAATGTGGTCCTGTATGACATTGTATAATAGACCCCAGGTTTGTTATAGTCCAGATTTACAGCCAGAATGGTTAATGGCTCTCGCTTGTATTTTCATTGGATGTATTTTGATAACAGCAACAATAATTCTATTAGCTAGTTCTCATTGGGATCGCAATGTTATTCCTTATGCAAGATGGGTTGGATTCACAGCTAGTAAGCTCCTATAGTGCACATAACCATTTTATAAAAATCTTTAAATATTTATTGATCATTGAATGTGTAATTATTTTTCAGTGGTGTTGTTTTGTCTAGCTGCAGTTATATTTCCGATGGGTTTTCACATAGTTGAGATTGGAGGGCAACCATATCAATTACCGAATTCTCATCAAGTTGGAAATTCTTACATACTTTTTGTTTTAGCTCTGTGGATCACAGTAATCTCAGAATTGTTTGCAGGCAAAGTTTGTCTACCACATTTCTAGCTGTTACCAATTCTTGTTTGTCCCTTAGGTTTAACAATTATTTTCGTATTTATAATGCTACCAGGCCTTCCAGGCAGGGATCCTACCTTTCGCGCCAAAATGGCAGATAGGTCCCAGCTTGTAGATACGACACAATCAAAATCCACGTTACATGGCACAGGCTCCGTATGAGAGGAGATACGACAGTTGTCGTTGCACGATTTTCGCATCATGTACTTGTCGTCATATCCTCACCCTGAGACCTGTTCGTTATTTTGGTGCTAAAGGTGCGATATGGAATCCCTGCTTCCAGGCCTGGATCACGAATGAGAGTGAGGGAGTGAGATTGAGAAGTAGCGAGAGCGAGAATGACCCTATGCCCTACTCGCTCTTGCTACTTCAGGCCTGGAATGCCTAACTGATGCGTAGTTTTATAAAAGATCATATATATAACTATACCCTTGACAATCACGAGAGAATCTGACGATCGTACATAAACATACAGCTTAAAAAAATTTTGTGTATGTATGTACGAATAATTTATTTTTATAAATAAAAAACTCATTTACTACAACTTGAATTCACTTTTACATCAGAATTACGCAATCGCTCAATTTATGAAGAAAACCAGATAAGCATTTTTTGAACAGATGTCAAATTTGCGCGATTGGCAAGGGGTTAATATTAACAAAAAATAAAATTAAGGATATTGTAATTAATATTATTAATTATTATAGTATTTATTTTAAATGTATGATAAATATATGATAGTTGTTGAATATATTGCATCTAAATAAACTGTATATAAATAGATAATAGAAACACCACCAAGATAATTTTTCATTCTTTATTTATTGAAACACACTGTTTGGTATTAAAATTGAGTAATAATATAATAAATTAAGTGTATGTAAATGTTTTATATAATATTTTCAAATAAGTGATGAANATAGTTGTTGAATATATTGCATCTAAATAAACTGTATATAAATAGATAATAGAAACACCACCAAGATAATTTTTCATTCTTTATTTATTGAAACACACTGTTTGGTATTAAAATTGAGTAATAATATAATAAATTAAGTGTATGTAAATGTTTTATATAATATTTTCAAATAAGTGATGAA